AACTCTATGTAACAAATTTATATAGAGGCATCTGAAGAAGGACCACAGTAGACCAATCATATTTTCATATATAGATAATAGATAAAAGAAAAATTTCTTAATTTAGATAAGATGATTCAAGAGCAGGGAACTCATTTAAGGTGCAAAGTAAATGGAAGAAATCAGAGAGCATAAATAACCTTAGAAGCATTGAGTTAAAAAAAGAAACTACTATTCACAATATACTATCTATATAAAGTTCTCTTCAATAACAAAAGTTGTTTTGATATTTTATGAAATAGAAATAAATAGATGCTGCATTAAGTGATATTTTAAATAGTACAACAGGAATAGTAGCTTCAGGAAATACTTTTCTGAAAAAAACCAAATATCCTACAATGTTTCATAAAGAACATACTATCTAGAGCATAAATACACTCAGAGCAGAAAACAGCAAAATTTGGATCAATACAAAAGCAGCTAGGATGGAAAACCTCCTGGGATGCTTGAAAATAGGGAAAGTGATTTGTAAATTTTATAATGTTGTCTAAAATGTTGACAGGTGATGCTAGTTGTAGATCTAATTAATAGTTAACTGCGTTTTTAAAATGAGATTTGCATTTGATAATAGGTTCTTTTTCGGACATATGTTGTCTCATTTATATGGTATATACTGATGTAACAAAGGAAAACATTTGCTTCTTTTGATCCTTAGTATTTTATGTTCTGAAAGATTCCCACACCTCCTAAATTTGTCCATTTTCAACTACAGCAACTTTTGACTCTTATAAGAAATATATTATAGGTGTCATCTTATGTTTGCTGCCTACTTGATGTATTTTAACACATCTTTCAAAAATTTTGCTTGTTCTTCAGAGGTAGTTGTAAACAAATATTGCATGGATCAGTCTAGAGCCGTGATGGCTATGGCACGCATGCCACAGGTGGCACGTGGAGCCATATCTGTAGGCACATGAGCATTGCCCTAGCTCAGCTCCAGCACATATGCGTGCGCCGGCCAGCTAATTTTCAGGCCTTCTGGGCCCACCAGAAGTCAGGAAATGGGCCATTTCTGGCCTCTGGTGGGCCTCTGAGGGAGTCGGGAAGGCTGTTTTCACCCTCCCCAGGCTCCAAGAAAGCCTCTGGAGCCTGGGGAGAGTGAAAAACGGGCCTTCCGGTCCCACCGTGCCATCACATGCCAAAAGCGGGGAGCGTGGGGTGATCATGCGCGCATGCGCAGGGGGAGGGGTGCATTGAATTATGGGTGTGGGCCTGCATGCTCCCCCCTTTTTTGGCACACAATGGCAAAAAGGTTAGCCATCACTGGTCTAGGGGATTATCACAGTGTATATAATTTAAAGGGTTAGAAATACATAGTTTTATCTAGTCTGATGTGCAGTTGGGGAGTTTCCTAATTATTTTCTGAAGGGATTGGTCTTTTCTGTTTGGAGGAAGCAGGGAAATTAGTGTTTAGTGTATTATACTATACCAATTCTCTGTGTGCTTGTATAAGGATCTGGAGATTGTTGGAAATATTTGGCTGACTAGTGATAGTAGTAGAACAATGGGAATAGGAAATCTGGAGGAGGTACTATTTATATTGAATTTCCCTTTTATAACATATTCCAATACTGTACCAAGAATGTAAAAACAGACATATTGCAAACATTAGGTCCAACAATTATACTGATTAGGTCCAACAATTAGGTGCAACAATTATACTGATTTATCTAGAAGTAGCAAAAATTAAATAAAGAAAGTCAATCGTTTTGCATAGTTTTTCTTTTAGAGTAGCAGAATTAGAATAAAACATGTGGTAATTACAATTTTAAAAATAAAATTGAAAGCTTCCTTCCTTCCTTCCCTTTTAAAATAAGGTAGTTTGAAAGCTTTTGAAAAAGAATGGAATAGAAGTGACTCATTCAGATGCTAGCATAGCAGTTGCCCCTTGAATCTGTTCTTGTCTGCTGCTGAGGTTCTATCTCTTTTTATTACATCAGGAATCATGACAAAATTTGATGAGCTGAAAAAAATAGGAACATTTTTTTTGCTTTTTTTTTTTTTTGTCCTTCAAGAGAAAAAGCATTCATACTCCCTTTTCAGTACCAGAGAATTAATAATGCTCTCTCCTTGTTTCCTATCCTTCTATGGGATAAATGGAGAACGAGATAGAAATAAAATCATATAAATCTCTTATGAGCAAGTGTTGCATATACAAATTTCTATAAGTCAGTACATTTCCACTGCTGATGTAAGTGGAACAGAATACATAAATTATGCCCACAATTACAACATAAAGAGCTTTCAGGGAAAATTTCTACCAAATTTATAAGTATATGCAACTTTTTATTTGTTTTCTAGAGTGAAAAACAGAGACAGTGATATGTGTTTCATAGGCAATAGTTATTGTCAATGTTCAAGTCTGTCAAGATCCTTCTGTATCTTAAGTCTATCTTCTGGAATGTTGGCTATTCCTGCTAGCTTGCTGTCATCTGCAAATTTGATGAGTTCCCCATCTATCCCCTCGTCCAAATCATTGATAAATATGTTGAAGAGTACTGGGCCTAAAACAGAGCCCTGGGGTGCCCCCCTGCGTACATGAATGAATGAATGAATGAATGAATGAATGAATGAATGAATGAATGAATGAATGATCCATTGATCAAAATAACATGACAATTCCCAACACCCCTAGTTTTTTAGAATTTCTTCTTAGTAGCAAATCACAACACATAGCCAACCTGAGTTGACATTAGAAATCTAAGCAGGACCAGGATGTACTGGTGGACCACCTTTGCTGATAGACTTATAAGAACGCGGGAGTAAATAAATTCCATTTATTTATTCCCAAATTCCTAAGAAAGAAATTCCAGAGCTGGGAAGTAAATAACTTCCCACAGAATGCAATTGCAGTCTATTTCTGTATCATTGCTGAAGAAAACTACATGGACCCATCCAGTGGTGAAATCCAAATTTTTTTACTAACGGTTCTGTGGGCATGACTTGGTGGGTGTAGTGTGGCTTGGTGGGTGAGGCAGGGGAAGGATACTGCAAAATCCCCATTCCCTCCCCATTCCTGGGGGAAGGATATTGCAAAATCTCCATTCCCACCCCACTCTGGGGCCAGCCAGAGGTGGTATTTGCTGGTTTTCCAAACTGCTCAAAATTTCCACTACCGGTTATCCAGAACCTGTCAGAACCTGCTGGATTTCACCCCTGGACCCATTTATGTAATCACTAGGAATCAAGCTCAATTGAAGAAAGTCTTTATCTTCATATTTGAATAAAACAGAAAAGTGGAAGAGTTTCAGCCTTGCTCATTTCCTTCTTGTCAAAAAGCTTCTTAACTCAGCATCCATATTTTCTAGGTTATTTCTAGAAAAGCCAAAACTGTTCTTATAATTGCTATTTTCCCCCAAGATGAATCTGTCACAATATTTTTCTAATCTTCTGATCAAAATAATCACAAAACTCTGTGTTCCACTTTACCTTCAATTTCCCACAAGTTTAAAAACTTATCTTCAGCCTCACTCTTCACCAGATGAAAAATAATACTGGTATAAACATTCTGATCAGTCTTCTGTTCTATATGTGCTGATATTCAGAACTTTATATCTTTCATGATTCAACCAGATGATGTGCAAACAGCTTAGAATTGCTTTCTCTAACTTAAGTAAATATAAGCATTTCTACCTGTGACTGTCACAATTGAATCATTGTTGATCTTGGGGATATCTTTTCTAAAAGTTTCACAAGTTTCATGCACATTTGTTAACATGGAGAAAACAATTTCTTTGTGAAACTGTTAAAGAATGCCAAAGCTTGGAACCTAAACAATACCAAGTCTGAATAAAACTTTGATGCCTGATCTCCAGGAATCATAAAACAAGCTTTGTTAGTTTGAGCATTTAAGAAATAAATCAGGACCAAATTTTCACTTGTGAGAAAGTTCTCAGATAATAATGTAATCTTTTCTTTCAGAGTCTGGGTCTGCCATGTTCTTTCCCATTTAGGAATTAAGCCAAAAGGTTATTCTCCAATTCCTAATTATTCCTTGTCAGATGTATGCTTTGCTTGTTTGAGAGAAGACTTACTTCAAAACCAAATGTTATAAAATTGAAAATAATCAGAAAGTATATCAGACTTTTATGGTGGCAGTGAATGCCTACTCAAAATGTCTTGAGGTGATATTCCTGACATCAACCACCTCGGACGCCGTGATCAAGACCCTTAAAAGGCTGTTTGCGATCCACAAGCTGCCAGACATCCTCATTTCAGATAACGGGCCACAGCTCACATCAAGTCAGTTTGAGCTGTTCCTGGTGGGTCATAGCATTCGTCATGCCCTGATTGCACCATTCCATCCTGCTAGCAACGGCCAGGATGAGCAGATGGTCCAATCAGCAAAGGAAGCACTGGCAAGGATAGGCCTGGAGGATTGGCAAAACAGATAGCGGAGTACCTCCTGGTCCAACAGATAACCAGGCTAAAACCTTCAACTAGCAGTTATCTCCAATGCATAACAGTATATTTGAATATTGATTCCTAACTGTCTATGACTGGTTTAATGTTTTGTACAGAAGAATATGACTTGATCAGATATTCCAGAAATTGTTTGTAAATTTAGGAGGAATTGAACAAATAAATAACTGGTATGAAATAATTTATTTCAGAACTGGCCCAAGGCATTTTATTCCTGCAATGCATTAGGCTCCTCATAATGCTTTACAATGTTGCAATTAATGTTGTGTCACAATTCTCCTATAAAATGCTTTTTGCTCAAATATAGGTTAGTATCCTATATTTTATTTCTGCATGCTGTTTGTTGCATTCTATAATCAAGATACTGATAATTTTGTAAGATTTGATGCTATGAATGGACTATTGCTAACTGCAGGGTATCTCATGTCTGAAGATGGCTTAAATAAACATTACATAGTTTCCAGATTTATGTTTCAATACTGCCACGTTAGAGAAGTCAGTGGATAATATATATTATTTGTATTTATATCTTCTTCCAGGAATTCGAAAAGATCGCAGAGGTGGCCGAATACTGAAGCACAAACGTCAAAGAGAAGAACATGATAGCCGAAACATAGGCACAGTAGTAGAGGCAAGGAGCCCAAATCTTTGGCCAAGTCCACTAATGATCAAACATAGTAAAAAAAACAGTCCAGCCCTCTCCCTCTCTGCAGATCAGATGGTTTCTGCTTTGCTAGAGGCAGAACCTCCTATTGTCTATTCAGAATATGACCCTAACAGACCCTTCAATGAAGCTTCAATGATGACGTTGTTGACCAACCTTGCTGATCGAGAACTGGTTCATATGATCAACTGGGCCAAAAGAGTTCCAGGTAAGAATACTAGCAAAAGATATTTAAACAACTATTCATATTGTTCCACATTTCAAAACATGCTACCACATATAGACACATGTTTACTATATTGTTTTATAATATATATAATTTCCATCATGATGTAAATTACATAAATCATTGTGGATATCACAGCATTAAGATGAAATTAATTCTAATGTAACTCCCACATCAAAATTCTTTTGGATGCAATTGACTTGTCCATAACTTCAAGGAGATATCTGGATCATTTTTTTTTCTATTGCAACAAAAGTTTGATAAATGTGGGACTAAGTTTTACTATGTTCTTTCTGCCTTCCCCCTCAAGATGTTATAAAGATGTTTGTTTCACATCTTTGTATCAACAATAGTAATTAAAATGGGTTGTGGTCTGTAAAGCAGAATCCATATTGCAAATCACATGATAAAGATAGGTATAATTGTTGTGCAATAATAATTAGAAAACTAAGGAACTGCTGCCCTCAACAGGCCTCAAGTGTACTTGGTAAGGTGATATAGGAAGATTGTAGTTTCAGTTGTTGTTGCATAATACTGCTTTCAGCCACTAGCTATGGCCTATCTCACTTTACCATACATATGGACTTCACTGTATATTTGGCATAGTTTCTTCTTGTTTTGAACCTGCTTTATTTCCTGGCATGTCTATAAACTCCCAATAGATCCAGCCAAAACCAATGAAATTCTTGGAAAATCCCGCCACAACTCTTTGGACTTTGGATTCAAAAATCAAAACAAGCCCTTTGAAGTTAGCCCAGTAACTAAATGGCAACAATTAAAACTGCTAAAAGATCTATTGGAAGCAGAGAGAAGTTGGGCAGCCAAATTTTAAAGTAACTATACACTGTAGACTGTATTGTGATGAATTGTGTCTCTGAAGGAGGAGGTGGCATGATGGACTACCAAGAAGTGGCACTTTCCCAGGAAGGAAGGAGCATATTTCAAGGAGAGGAATGAGACAAGAGATAACACAGCCCAGAGCTGGATTAAAGTCTGAGGAAAAGATTTAGCATAGCCATTTCCCAGAATTTCTCAGGGTACATCTGTTAGGTTAGGATAGGATAGGATAGGATAGGATAGGATAGGATAGGATAGGATAGGATAGGATAGGATAGGATAGGATAGAACTAGAACAGAACAGAACAGAACAGAACAGAACAGAAAACTTTATTGGCCAAGTGTGATTGGACACACAAGGAATTTGTCTTTGGTACATATGTTCTCAGTGTACATAAAAGACAAAAAAATTCATCAAGAATCATAAGATACAACACTTAGTGATAGTCATAGGTTACTAAATAAGCAATCAAATCATACTAGGAAACAAAACAATATAAATCATAGAGATACAAGCAACAAGGTTATAGTCATAAGTGGGAGGAGGTAGGTAATAGGAAGGATGAGAAGAATAATAGTAATACAGTCTTAGTAAATAATTTGACAGTGTTCTGGGAATTAGTTGTTTAGCAGAGTGATGGCATTAGGGAAAAAACTGACCTTGTGTCTATAGGGTGAGAGCAAATAAAGAATTAAATTTTGGCTGGATTGTTCTATGTTGTTCTTAGGCTGGGCCTGACAAGATAGGTCAGGGAAGAATGCATGGCAGAAGTCTAATTTTGCTGCATATCCTAGGGACCGTTTTTTAGGATTGTTGCCATCTTCCCTCACTTTCAGCAATGTCAAATCCCTTTTCTTACCACCCAGAAGCAGGGTTTTTTTTTTAAAAAAAAGTCATTTTATGCAGATTATTCCTGTTATTCTTTCTCTTGTTCCAAATGCAGCTCACTGCTATTATCTGGTTCTTCTTATTTTGGGATAGTGGACTGTCACCTAAGAGCTGACTACTTTGACTTACTTATCTGTCATTGCAGATAACAGCATCACAACTAAATTATGTATTAAGAAAGCAGCACTGGCCTAAATTGTCCCTTGCAATTTTATATAGGGTCATATTTAACGGTTTCCTTTCAGTTAGAAAAGGTTCTTGGTTCAACTGAGGTTTCCATGAGTAGCAAGTGGGAAATGAATTTGTGTAGCAATCTATTGAGCTCAGAGGTAGGCAAACTGACTTTGTTACATAATTTGGACTACAGTTCCCACCAGCTCTGGCCAGTTAGATGTTTAGAAACATTTGCAGCAACACAGGAGGTAGCACACGGATTATGGGAGAAAGAAAGATCCATTCAGTTCTGGAACTTTCTCTATGAGATGGTAACATACATAGATTCACTTCCTATAGTTTCTTTTTCTTGAATCCAATATAAACTATAATGCGTAAGCCAAATTTGTTGCTGAAGATACAGAGAACACTATCGTCCTCTTCTTTGGGAGACAGTAATGTTCAGTTGTAGCTCAGGGTACCCACAAGTAGCTACTGAAGGGAGACAGTAATGTTCAGTTGTATCTCAGGGTACTAACAAGTAGCTACTGAAGTTGAAAAAAAGGATTCCGTTTGTGAGGAGGGGTTTGTTATTGTTAATCATAAGCAAAATGTTTGGCATTGGTCTTAAAGAGCTTGGGTAATTATTGACTTGCACTATAGTAGCTCTGTAGTTTAATGACCTTAAAACATTACATTGGGCATGTAGGCTTTGAAGTTTCAAGATTATTCACAGCATTGTAGTTATTTTTTGTGGTTTTCTGAAGCGAAAAGATAAATACCTTGCTTTTTTTTAAAAAGCTGCCAAAGCTGCTGGTTTTCTAAAGACATTGTTTCTTTTTAAATTTGTCTTAGTTAACCATCAGTTTTATTAAATTAAGAACACTATGATGAACCAATAATAGACGTGTTTTTATCTGACACCAATGATCCTGATTTAAAAATTGCATAATTGAAAATTACCTCTTGGATTTAATATTAATAATAATAATTTAGTAACTATATATGCCATCCAACACCCAGAGACTCTGGGCTACACTAACCAGTTTTATCCTTCTGCATTTAAAAATATTTATTCTCAGGGATCTGAGTATTAGATACTATGATACTATTAGATACATAGTAGATACTATGATATTTACCATGAATTTGGTCATTTGAATATTAGTGAGAGTTACTACTTCTTTAGATGCATTTATAACAAATTTAAAAAATTATCCAGTTGCAATTCCTAAAATGCAGTGCTAGAATGTCATTATGAGAATCATTTTTTAAAAATAATTTACACAATATTTAGATTAGAATTGCTATTGTGTACTTCTTAATTAGTACCAGAGATATGTCTTGCCATAATTTAATTATCCTGGCAAGAAAAGATCTAAAGCAACACAAATATTTTTTGCCTTGGATGCTGGATGGAATTCAGCTTGGATACTCAACATTGCTGTGAATGTTGTGAACTTTTAGGATTGAACAGGCAAGACACGGCACACAAGAAACTTCTAACGAACCAGGTCAATTTTTTTTATTTGTAATATTTCATGAGTACAAAATATTAGTTTCTCTGATTGATTTTTTTTTTTTTTTAGTAAATTAACTAGACAAGGATTATACAACCAGAGCTTCAGCTCCCCTTCTCTTTCTGGCTTCTGATTTTAAAGAAATGTGGTAAATTGCTTTATGACCTAATTACATTTTCCATGCAATTTTCTGTTCCAAGATAAGTGCCCTGCCTAACCAAATTGCTTCTGCTAATGTGACAGCATCCTATCCTAAAAGTATATAGCTATAATTAAATTTCCCAAAGAGTGAATCAAAGCTTTCAGGTAAAGCTTAGCTGGCAACCTCTCATTGGCAGCCTAACCTAGATCTTCTTTTCATATCTCCAGAGCCTCTTCTGCCTCTGAATCTCAGTACCAGGAGATAGATCCCACACCATGTAGTTATCCTCCTGGCATAATGATTTCTATGCAGAATCCTCTTTGGGAATTCTTAAATCAGCCTGAAACCTGCATCTGTTCAGGAACTCACTATTTCTTAATCTTGGTTTGCTAGCCATTTCTCTTCTAGTTCTGCTCCAAGTCTATTCCTGCTCTCCTCTTCTGCCGAGAGACCAGGGCTGAAATTCAGCAGGTTCTGACAGGTTTTGGAGAACCGGTAGCAGAAATTTTGAGTAGTTCAGAGAACCTGCAAATACTACCTTTGGCTGGCCCCAGAATGGAGGGGGGAATGGAGATTTTGCAATACCCTTCCCCAAGGGGCAGGGAGAGAATGGGGATTTTGCAGTATCCTTCCCCTGGAGTGGGGTGGGAATGGAGATTTTGCAGTATCTTTCCCCTGCCATGCCCACCAAGCCACAGTGGGTAGTAAAAACTCGTAGTAAAAAAAAAATGAATTCCACCATTGTGAGAGACTCTTTCTGAGAGGGAAAAACCTGAGGTGTTTTTTCCTCAGTTCTTCTGAAGTGTTAGGTTACCACAGAAGTGGAGTTTATATAAAAGCCAGTTTTATGTAATAGTTAAAGCACCAGGCTAGAAACCAGACAATTGATTTTTAGTCTCACCTTAGTCACAAAACCAGCAGGGTGACTTTGGGCCAATCATTCTCAGCTCTAGGAAGGACACAATGGCAAACTACTTCCAAAATATTACCTAAAAAGTGCAGGGATTTGTCCAGGCAGTTGTTAGGAGCCAATAATGATTTGAAGGTACGTGCACAAATGTTGTGTGTGTGTGTGTGTGTGTGTGTGTGTGTGTGTGTGAGAGAGAGAGAGAGAGAGAGAATCATGTGACAGGATGGTAGACAGCATTTTCTTCCTCCTTTCTGTCACAGTGAGATTTCCCAGGTTTTTAAATGACTACTAACCTATCTGTCCAACCTCTACGTAACACAAGCTATTTCTCTCACAAGTAGATCTTTGGTGATATATTTGTGCATATGTACATATGCACACTGTTTAATGTGAATCTGGCAATTTAGAAATATTCCCAATATTTGAGGAGAACAACTGATATTTGAACTTTAGCTCTGCTTAGCTCTGCTAAAACAAAACAACCCCAAGAATAAAAATGTATGTTTTTTTTCTTTCTATACAATACCAGGA